GTTTTTCTTTTTCTTCCTTTATTTTTCTTTTAAATAGAAACAGCTGTTTAAAAACTGGTATTCTGTTTCTAAAGCATTAAATTGGGATGTAGGCAGACAAGATGCTTTAGGTAGATGTGATATCTTTTATTAGGCCATCTAAAAAGTTGGAAAATTGTTCTTTGCAAGCTTTCAGGCACAAACACCGTTCAGGCTGGGGTTTTTTGTGTTCTCCTGGGTGGAATAAAAGCCAATATGCCAAATACAGGTCTGTGAAAATGCAGATGCATGCCAGTTAGGATGAGAGGAATGGGAGATAAGTGTGAGACAGGCATGGTGGGGAGGGAGCGGGAATGGTGACCCTGGTGATAGTGTGGCTGGTAAAATGCAGACAGGTTACGTGGGGTATCAGATGTCAGGCAGGTTGTAATGTGTCATAAATGCAACGTCTGTGTTTAGTCCACAGTTTTTTGTATCCAGTAGATTTATGAAGTGAAGTTCATAGACAAAAGGTGTTTTGTAAATTCCCTTTGAGAATTAGAACTGAGAGGCTGGAGAGAGAGTGATTGTCCTTTGAGAAGTGTGCACCCCACCAGTAATTGGGTATTTTTGTCTTCGATGGATTTCCCATGTGCGTTCATTCTGGTGCACCGTTGTTGTTTGGCCTCTCCTACATATTTTCCATTAGGGCATTTAGTGCATTGGATGAGATGTATTACATTTCTAGAGGTGCAGGCGTAAGATCCAGGAATGGTAATTGCTCTGTTATGGGGTGTAGTTGTTGTGGGAGTGGTGGAGATACGCTGGCAGGTTTTACATTTCTTGTCCCAGCATAGTCTGGATCATAGATTAAATTAGGATGTAATTTTGTATTTAGTGTAAAGCATAAGACCGCATTTTCTGCTAGGCATATAAAATGTGTCTTCCAATTTTGTTTTAATACTTGCTGCATACTTGATGCTGTACAATACATAGAACTAAAGTCTTCATTGTCCCAAAGAGTTCATAAACCAGAAGATGAACATACAGTTACAAGACAAGGGAGAATCCAGGAATGTTTTATTAGTTTATAATTAAATCATTACTTGATGATTAGAGATGGATTTTAAAGGAGGACTTGTGTGAGGCAAGGTAGGTTGAAGAAATGGAAAGACATAGTTAAAAGAAATCTTGTGGAAAATTTCCTTTTGGAAATTCAGAAATACATTTTTTGGCTAAAATGTAAACTTGGAGCAAATTCAATTGTCCACATAAAATGGATTTCTCAAAGACATTCTTGGGTGATTAACCACATTTTTCTCTGCAAAGAGTTTTAACAGAACGTCTGACCAGCTGTTCCAATGCATGAGTGTATGGAGTCAGGTGTGAAACAAGGAAGGAGGTATTGATGCTGTAGGGGATTGAAGCAGCTAAGGCAGGGGTGGGCAAAATCTGGCCTCGAGCAGACTGTTTCCCAGCAGCCCCTGCTGCAGCAGCTCCTGGCTGGATCCAGTCCTGCTGCCTTGGCACCACAGCCCATCTGCCCCGCACCCACTGCCAGGAGTGGGACCTGCACAGGCAGGGCATGTGGCTGGGAGCGAGATGGGCGAGCTAAGCCTTGGAAGTATGGCCTCAGAGATAGTCAGATGTAAGGTGAGGCAGGGCTATAAAGGGTTTTGAAGGCAAATATGAGGTGTGTGACTTGATGCTGTTTTTCAGGGAGAGCCTGTTTTGAAAGATTCAAAGAGGTGAAATGGTTGGTCTGGCACAGGAATTGGCAATATTTTTGGCTGGAGTGCAAAAAACGCCCCAACCTCGACCCATGCCTTGACTTGGTGTGCCAGAATCAGGGGAGCTGAGTGGCCTGATCCTCATTGCTGGTGGTGGCTGCACATGTGCCTTGGAGTGGGTGGCAGGGTATGCCCCAGGGTTGTAGTACCTTGGCCTCTTCTCTGCCATGTGCCCCTAGTCATGTGTACACCTGCTGCCATCAGTGACTCCAGAGCCTTGTGCAGCTGTTTACAGCCTGCCTGCTGCAGCTGCCCATAGCCTGGGCCAGCTGTTGAAGTTAGCTGGGAGGCTGCAAACAGCTGCACTGGGCTCTGTGGCAGGACCTGCACATGTGCGTAAGGGCGCATTGCTGGGAAGGGGCCTGGAGCAGTGCAACCTCAGCCTCTCTCCCACCATGCACCCTGAAGTGTGTGTACCTGCCAGAGCCCAATGCAGCCTACCACAGCCGGCCGGGCTCTGCAGCAGGCAGGCAGGAGGCTGCAAATAGCTGCTCCAGGGTCTGGAGCCACTGGACCAGCTCCATGGTGGTGGCAGCTGCACGTGTGCCTCGGGGCAGGGCAGGGGCTGTGGTTACGCTGCCCCAGGCACCTTCCCAGCTATATGCCCTGAGGTGTGCACTGCCACAGAGCCCAGTGCAGCTGTTTGTAGCCTCCCAGAGGCAGCTGCTGCCTGCCACCAAGCCTGGGCTGCTTGCAGCAGGGCTTGTAGCCTCTTGGCCACCTGCTGCAAGCAGCCCAGGCTCTGTGGCTGGTGACAGCTGCCCAGAACCAGGGCTGGCTGTGGCATGCTGAGTAAAATGGTCTCACATGCCATGCTCTGGCATGTTTCCCAAGGGTTGCCGATCCCTGATCTAACAGGTGAGAGAAGATTTCTGCAACTGCCTTTCAGATGCCCAGGAGGGTTTGGGTTGTAAGTGAAGCTGGACAGGAGAAACAAACGGTCTTTCTATTCACCATTTCTCTCAATAAAACAGCCATTGCTAATCCCAGAATTGCTACGCTTTCTAACCAGTTCACAAAAACTAAAGCAATCAGTCAAGTCGCTCCTTCCTTGGTGGTGCTCACTTGTTTGTCTCTGTGTTAGCAGTTCTGTCATGTTGCCCGAAGAGCTGTTTTGTTCATAGAATCGTAGAAAATGAGGATTTTGAAGGAAGCTCAGGAGGTCACATCTAATCCACCCCCCTGCTCAGAGCAGGACCAGTTCCAACTAGGTCATCCCAGCCATGGCTTTGTTGACCTGCGTCTTAAACACCTCCAAGGATGGCAATTCCACACCCTCTCTGGTTAACCTGTTCAAGTGCTTTTATTACCCTCTTAGTGAGAAAATTCTTCCTACTATCTAACATAAACTTCTCCTGCTACAGCTCGAGACAATTGCTCCTTGTTCTGTCATCTGCCACCACTGAGAACAGTCCAGCTCCATCCTCTTTGGTACCACCTGTCAGGTGGCTGCTATCAAATCCCCCACTTCAGGTAGTTGAAGGCTGCTATTAAGTCCCCTCACAGTCTTATTTTCAGCACTAGAATAAATTAATCTTAATATTTTATTAACCCAGTTCTAGACAACAGGGTAAAGTGTTAAAAACCACTAATATGATATCATTAGTTTCGTTTTTGTTTTTATAAAGCAAAGATAAAACCCAAGCACTTGTGGGTCCTCGTTCGTTCTCGTTACTGTTTGGCGTTACTACCAACATTAGTCCTGTGCATCGAGAAACATCTTGTTGACTCTCTCTTGCATTTTAAATATAGGATTTTATTTGGGATGATTACTATTTCCTTCACAAACCTGGAGGAAGTTTTGCCATCTGTAACTGATCTTTCACCACTGTGCAAGGATGCTTTTTGATCATTTTCCTCAAAATTGCCTTCACTTGTTTCCTCTGAGGCTTGTGAGATCACCCTCATCTATCAAAAAGCTGGCAGAAAAGGTGGTTTATACCTAGGAACAAGAAAGCCCAGTTACTTGATATTTAATTGCCCACAAGGTCAGAGAAGGACAGTAACGTACGACTGATTTTTATTTATTTATTTTTTTTTTACATCTTTGTTTCTGGTCCGTACCCTGCCCCGCAATCCCTAAGGTCACCACTTATCAGCTCCCATCCAAGTACATTCTGTTCTAGCTTTGTCTTATCAGTCAGGAGCCAGCCTATCAGAAACCCCGCAGGTAACACCACCTTTACTTTAAGCAGAATCATGACCTCTGGAAACTTTTTACTGAGCCAAGAAAAGCACTTGTCTAAGATTTTGTAGGCAAGCACTCTCCCTCCATTGATGGAACTTGTTCTTGTGTTATCAGATCTGAGTTGGCTGAGCTGTAAATATGTAGGTAGTATGCAATGCTTGTGCATAGTAGGCATGTTGCTTAGCGTCCTTCATCCAGATGTATCAAGATGCCTTTACTCTGGATTGGCTATCCTTTTTTTAAAGGAAGTCCTCATTTGTCATGGTATGGACCTTAAGCAGTCTCCAGAAGAAGAGTAACCTTTGCTTTTGTGCTATAAGTTGGTAAAGAACACCAAACCCTTTTCACAGTGGCAGCTTTGTAGCATGAGGATTATTTGGAGTAGACTTCTTTGCTTCTGGGGATCACTCTATGCTTTTTCTGTCTACCAGTGTTTTTGTGACACCCAAAAGCACGGGCAAAGAATGGAAATGACTAATATTGAAAACATATTGAAAAATTGCTTTTTTCTGACCTTTCAGTAGTAGAAATCTTATATTATTGAAAATTGTTTCAGGTATGACTTAAGCGTTATCCCATTAAAGAGTAATCTGTGGATTCCAGAAGTGTAATAACATTAGGCCTTTTTGAATATAGTAAAACTTGAATGCCTCAGATATCCAGAAGAGGGCGCAAATATGACTGTACTTTTACACTTTTCTCTTACAGTCTTGAATTGGGAGCAGTCATCTTTGTAAAATTATTACTCAACCATTGAGCATTGTTTTATTTGCATAGTTATGAGCTAGTTTAAATTAATTTGGTAAATATGACATACATAACAAGGTATCTTGTGCAAAGTGTATATAACCTGAGGGTTATGGAGAGTAACTCAGTTGGAGGTATTTAAATCCAAATGCTTTTCCTACTTGCAGTTTATAATAATACCTAATCTTATTCTTTTATAACTGATGTTGACTGTTTTTTCCATCTGTGGGGGTGGTGATGATGGAGGAAAATGTTATGTTCACATTCACAGTATAAGGGTATTTACATTGCTTTGTTTGGCTGTGCTGGCTCCTCAGGTTATCCTACGTTACGGATAGAGAAGAACGATCTGAAAAGCGTAACACTGCTGGAAGCAAAAGCTAAAGTGAGGGACATAGCCATCTCCAGGGAGAGGATAACACTAAAAGATGTACTCCAAGAAGGTATTTACAATGTGCTGTTTATTTTCTTATTTTCATCCTCAAAATTCTTTCAAAGGATGTTTCACAAAAACAGAAGATGTCATATGAGGAACAGGAGTAACTTCTGCAGAGAAGGTTGCAAGAAGTAATTTAGAACATATCCATGCATTTTGTCCAGCAGTTCATTGTTTCTGCATAAATCTATTTTTCTCCGATTCCAAACATTTCTCAGTTCATAGGAACTAAATTATTGTGAGAAGTCTCATTTCAGTGTCTTGAGGTTTTTTTCTTGATTACCCTGTATTTTATTTAAATAAAATCTTTGGCGTCTGGTATTTGAGCAGCTTCTTCATTAAGGCACAGGTTGATTAAATGCAACTGAAATGGGGAAAAAAAAAAAAATGCTACTGAACTTATTGGGAGAGGGCTTCATTAAGTTCAGTCAGCTTTTAAAACTTAATGGTTTTCCTTTCAGTTCAGTCCAGTCTCGTTAGAGCTGGTAAAAGAAGATTTCAGTACATGATATGAGAGAAAAATATATATATATATGAGCAGAGTGTCAATACCAAGATTCCTTAGAAGAGGGGAGGCATTAGTTGCTTCTTGTCTTTTCAAAGTTCTATTTTGGGAGTGTACATGTAAGTTTTTTGTTAACCTTTGTCTAATAATGTTGATTTTGGGACAGCTAAAAATTGCTCTTATGTTGTCTCAGTAATTTGAATGACTGCAATGAATCGACATCTTTAAACACATGCTCATAAGCCTGGCTAGATTTGGAACACTTCAGAGCTAGAGATCGGAGCTATTAAATCACCTCCTGAGTAGCTGATAGTGTCTCCGTGTTGTTGAGGTAGAACTTTTCTCAAAGTGCCTTAGAAATTAAATATCTTCTATGTCTCAGAAGTGTTGGTGATAGGCGTGTTGGTCCAAGGACATGGGCAGACAAGCTTCTCTGGGTAAATCTGATATCTTTTATTAGGCCAACTAAAATAGTTGGGAAATTTCTTTTTTGCAAGTTTTTGGGCAGACAACGCTTCTTCAGGCAAGGGAAACATGTTTTTGTTGCCTTTACCTCTCAAGTAATTTAATTCTGAACTTTTGTTCTCCTATTGCATGTGGTTGGCACCACAAAAGGAGCTGCTAATGAATCCTTTTGTTTCCACTTGCCTGCATCTACCTATGGTGTAGGAAGGTATCTGATGACTAGAAGCAGCAAAGTAGCCCAAGTAAGCTTGCATGATCTGCCATAAAAGGAAATAATGTTTCCTATTTCCATGGCATGCAGATCAAAGTACCATTGAATGCAGACAGGAATGCCATGTAGCCAGATCCTAGGAGAAGCAGTTTGGATTGTTTTTTGGTCTGCCTGAAAGTTTCAGACTTGAAACTTGATTTGGGGTCTATCATTATCTTCAAAGTCTGCAGGTTCAAGTGAAAGCCCCATGAGAAGTCAAGCTTCTTGAGCCAATAGCTTCCACTTCTGTTCAGTCTCACAGCAACGCTGGACTGGGTTTGTAAGAAATCATCAGAGCTGGTGGCGTGAATCAGTAAAAGCATTCAGAATTCTCAAAATTTTAACTACATTCGTTTAGAAATCTGTGGTACCTATAGTTGGCCCAAGTCTGGAAATCTTGACCAACACTTACTCCATTCAGAGTCTTTAGCTGTTTTCATAATTAAAATTTGTATTTTGAATGTTGCCATGGCTTGACCAAATGCTTGAAGAAAGGGCATGTAAAAAGATGGAAGAAGATTCAGTCAGGGGGACAGACCTCACTTTCTGCTCTAGACAGCTAATTTTCAAATACATGGAGCACAGCTCTCCTTGGTGATCGTATAGGAAGGTCTGCTATGCTCCCAGAAATGTTCATTAGTTTGTGCTTATGGACAGACCACAGCAGCACAACATTTTGTTGTCCTTTTGATGTAGTATCATGATATCCAGACTCATGTCACACTCTTGGGTTAAAGCTCTGCAACAAGAATAGGTTTTGAGGGATCCCCTAACTAATCAGTCCAAGTCCCCAAATTAACTTTTAGTGAAGCTTTTAAACTTGGCTAAATGGAACAGAAGAATGGATATTGATGGTAGGACGACACTTACCAAGTTCTAGGTAAAGTCCATCCTTCCTTTTGTGTTCTTGTTATGACAAGGTATTCAGCAGAATTCATGGATTCATTAGCATATGATAGGGCTGCTCCATGAGTGCTGCTATGGCCTGTCTAGATAAGGTAAATTTAATGGCTTAAAATGGCTCTCTTTTTAGAGTAGGACAAATGGAATAATTTTGTAGGAGCACAAAATGTAGGGTGAGAGTCGGTTTTAAACCTGACTTCTGGAATCAAAGATGCTATCTGTATAGTTTATTGATGCTAAAGTCAGGTCCCGTGGAGCGGGCCAGAGTGTTATAAAACTTGGGTTAAAAGTGTAAAGTGTACTGCATTGTATTCTTATTGTGCTTAGATGTTGCAATGTGTGAGAATTTTTTCGTTAACTGCTTTCATTCCTCTAGTTCAGGACCACGTGGTAAGTAAATATCATCTACGGTTTTGGAAGTAGGAAGAATAGCGCAATCCCATTGCACATCTGCACTACCTTTCTTTTGTGGGAATTTGCATGCCTTTGTAGATTATTAATGTAGATCTAAGATACTGTTAGCAGCCCTGTTTTCAAGTTGGGAATTGAAGGAGGAAGATTTCTGCTTTTTTAAATAATCTAGACTGTGTAATTACACTTGCATGTAATCCCCTCTTTGAGCTAGCTGCTGCTTACATGAATCACAGGATAGGAATCTGTGGAGCCAAAATAGCCAGAATTGCATTAATGGTAGGTAATCTGCTTTTATTTAGTTGGCACTTTTTGTCTTTTTACAGTAAAGCTTAGGGATCAACTGAAATTGGGGCCCCCTCTGTGTTGGGCTCTGCACAACCAAAATAAGACAGTTGTATACCAGGTTGCTTACAATCTGAATAGGCAAGACAGATCAGTGGCTAAGAGAAATGGGTGTGGCATGCAAGCAGAGGGAACAGCGCAGTGTTGCAAACACTGTGGTGATTCTGTGATCATTTTGCATAGCTTCTCCATCTGCTTTCCTTACCATAGCCCACATGGCTTAAAACGGAGCAGAGCCACAAAAGACCCAACAGTTAAGTTAATGATTCTCAACCAGGATGTCATGGCGCCTTGGCATGCCTTGAGATCCATTTAAGGGTGTCCTGGGGTGCTACGCAATGTTAACACTGTTAAGCGTGCAAACATGATTCACAAGATAAACCCAGAGATTTCAAATAGAAATCCGTTGTGTTAAAAGCATTAAGACCTGTCCTGGTCTTTCACTCATCTTTTGACTACCAAAAGAATTCAGGAAGTTGAGAGCTGGCATCTTCCAAGAGGTGCCTCAAACCTTAAAAGATTGAGAACCACTGAGTTAGGCCTGCCTTGCCCAAAGCCCATGCTAGGGAGCGTCACAGCAAAGTATTGCATGTCTGGTCTGTGCTCACAGCACCCTAAAATGGATATAATGTGGCTGCGCCTTGGGCACATACTAGCAAACTTGGGTGTTCACAGGAGTGCTGTTGAACACATGTCCAAAACCTCACTGCCAGCTACATTTAAGTCTATTTCAGGGTGGTTCCTGGATATGTTCAGTATGTATACTACACAGTTCTGGCTTTGGTAGTTTCTTGGGATTTGAAGACTTTCAAGGACTTCAAATTTGGAAGTTACAGAAATGTAATTGCAAAGCATCTTAATTTTCTGCTGATCCTGCAAGAACATGCCTCAGGGTAATATTGTCTAAGTGTGTTTTTAATTTAAATGGTTTATGAACTTGATTGAAATGCATTATCTTTATAATAGCATTATGTTGTTTTTGCAGGCACTTTTGGGCGCATTTTCCATGGGATTCTAATAGAGGAAAAAGACCCCAGCAAAGAGAAACAAGTTTTTGTCAAAACTGTTAAAGGTAAGTTTTCAGAGAGGTGCCTCTTCCTCTTACTGTTCAAGCTGCCATCAAAGGGCAGAAATGGAAACCTTTGCAAAAAGGGACTTGTGTGCATTCCATCAAACATTCCAGTTACTGCACCTCTAATCTCATTTGCTTAGTTAGGGCTTTGGTATTTAGCAAGTTAGATGCACGTTAATTTTTAAGTTAAATTGTTGGCCCTACAAAACAATTTAAATGGCTCTCTTCACATGGTCCTGTCTCCTACCTCTAAACTGGACTAAAAAAGTATGCCTAAAGACATGCACCACACATCTTCAACGTGTTTCATGTTGAGTTCCTGGCCCAAGGTTTTTCCATTCTAAATTGAACACTCATTCAGACATGCAAAGCATTTGACGATGCACGATTTTAAAGTTAACTTTTTCCCTCTTTAGATGAATGTAGATTAGTTTTGTAGAAGTCTATTTTAAGGAGGTCTTTTGAGTTTGGCATGCAGAGGGCTGAAAAAATATTTTCATATGCTGAAATTTTATATATGCTGTAGAAATCACTATTAAAAAAAATCTTCATGCAGATCTTTCTCTCCAGATTTTTTGTTGCTACTGTTCTTTTTGGTAACTTTTTTATCCTTAGCAGTGCAAGCAAGATAAGTGTATACAGTAGCCACTTTTTATTATAGTCTTGCATCACTTTGACTGAGCAAACCAATACCCTTTTTTACAGTTCTTCCCATCAATGATCAGTGCTTCAAAAACCTTTCCTGATTTAATTTTTCACTGGCTAGTATGTTTTTGGGTTTTTTAATATTTGCAGATGATGAGTACAAGGGAAAAGGGATTTTAACAAGACTAGTATATACAGAGATTGATCACTTAATCTCACCTTACTATCCATTTATACTAATCATTGTTTACTTTATAGTTCATATTTTAAGCTAATGCTTTCAAGTTTGTTTTAAAGAATTGTTCCACCATTTGATTAAAACCAGAATAATTAAGTGTATGCATATAATAGTACTAGGATGTAACTTAGTGAGGCACCATTGCAAAAAACATTTGTTTTGACTTGAAGTGAATGTTAGGCCTTTTTTAAGGCTTTACTAGGGTAAATTAAAATTTTCCACCCCCCCCCCCCCATCAAAGGAAAACGTCCCTTTCAAATTTGGGCTGAGTACTGCAAGGCAGTTTCAAATGGATGCTGTTCCAATCCAGAGCCACTTCCCCTTCTGAGGTGGGCCAAGAGGTGATAAACCTCAAGTGGAGGCCATTAGGTTGATGGGCGAACGCAAGTACCTCTTGACTCCAACTGAGAATTTTGAATCCCAAAGGTAGGCTTGGAAATTTGCTTTTGTGCAAAAATTACATACTTAAATTATGGCCTGTCTCATCTCCACTGTGAAAAGTTGCTCTTCATTATGCGTGGCCTCTGAAATCATAGCCAGGTGATTCTATATTGTCCCCCTTTCTCCTGCCTGGTTTTGTGAAATATTCTTCAGATAGTAGAAAACTAGACACCAACTGGGGGAAGACCTTGAAGGTGACATGACAGCAGTGGCTTTTGGTAGTACACTGGTAGCCAGAGTTCTGACTGTTTTTGACATCTCTGCTCTAGCAAAAGCCATTCCTAAAACTAAGGCAGGAGGGGGCAGTTACTTCAGCTGGCAGGTCACTTAATGAGCTTTGGCAAACTGTTGAGAGCAGCACGCATAATCTTTCAGAAGGTATCATTTTAACAAATTATAGGTAAAAAAAATCATACTGAAAATCAAACATACTATAAATTTAATTTTATTAAAAAATAATTATTGTCCTAATTTCGTTTGTTTTGAGTAATATATTTAGAGGGGAAGGGGGAGGCAGGGGGTTTATGCAGCATAGCTTGCCCAGGTGGTGCAGTGCAGGTGCAGTCTGCTTCCATCCCCCCACCCCCAACCTGTCTCACTTGTGGTGCTCCACATGGGGCTGAGCTTTGTCCACTTCTGCTCAGGGCAACCTGTGCCATACTCCCGCCTGGACCCACTGCACCTGCTGTTGACCCTGGCAAACATGTACAGCTTCCCAGTGGGGCTGCCTTCCACCCATTTGGTCTCCTACAGGTGGCTGCTCATCTTGCCAAGTGGCTGAGTGGGTGACGGGTGACCTGGAGCTGAAGCCCCACATCATGAGGCTTCCCCATGCTACCTGCTGCCAGCAGAGGTGTGAGGAGGAGGAGCTGCTGAATAATACCTGCATGGCTGCAGCAGCAGCAGGAACAGCCCCATTGGGAAGCTTTGTGCGCTGCCTGGGGCCAGGGTGGTGCCATCAGTGGGCGCAGGGCAGGAGCAGGCATGTCTCAGCCCCATGCAGTGTGCTGCAGGCACAGCTACAGGCCAGATGCAGTCAGCCAACCAGATGCAGCATGTGGGCCATATGTTGCCCACCTGAACTAAGGTAATGAGACTTGTTGAAAGGCAGCAAATGCTTTGACTGGGACTTCACCAAGAACAAAGGAATTTGGGAATCTAGAAATACAATTCTTATCCCTTGCTGTCCTCTCTTGTGCTTAACCCTATTGAGCAATCACTTCCTGGCATAAAGGACTTTCAGCTCTCTTGCTTTCTTCTAACGTCAGTTGGCACAAGATTTATTCTACATTGTATAAGAATCTAAATCTGCAGGTAGCAGAGTCCATCGAAAATGTTTGAGATAAGTATTCATCATGGTTTTGATTGATAAATTTTCTCAGAAACATCATTTCCTTTACAGATACTGCCTGTATCTTCTATATACTAGTTTCACCTGCCATCCCTTCCCACCGCCAGTGTTGTGCTGTGAGAGTGGAGCATGATATTAAGGAAAGGAGATTTGAACAGTTTGCTCTTCTCCTTTTGATGACTGACTAGTGTTGAATTAACTTTATGGAAGGGCATTTCAGCAGGCAAAAGACAAGACTGGAAAGTCAGATAACCAGTATTACATTATCCTTAGTTTAACCATGTTTTTTTACTTGGTTATAGGCCTTTGTAATGTAATTTAGGTTCTTCAGATAGTAGAAATTTAGACACTTTAGAAGTGACTGGATGAGCTATACTGAAGAAAAGGGTCTTCAGCTTGGACTGGAATTTAATCACTGTCAGTTAATCATTTCAGGCAGTTGTCTGCTCTGCCAGCTTTGAACAAGCAGTGTGTAATTAGGTTAGTTTTAATATGGCAGAAATAAGTATGGCATTCATTATATTAGATACTACCTTGTGAAATGCATGCTACTTGAAAAAGTAACCAAAAGGTCTCCTCATTTCCGTAAGATTCTTAAATTTCTCTTTTTATCTGGATCAAGGCAAGAAGGATAAGAAAATGTTTTTTTTTTTTTCAGATGTACAGGCCAGCTGACCCAACAGAAAGCAGGATCTCTAGGCCTGTCATCACAAAGATGGATGGAAAAATCCCATTGGGTGTTAACGGAAGATTAGTGCTAGGGCAAGAACCATGCCCTCTGGTCTCAGTTTGAGGTTGCGGTTGGAATTGGAGATGATCTAATTCGGAAAAATGAGACCAGTAAGCCAGTCAGCTGGATTCACCAAGGGCTACTTATGCCTGACCAGCCTGATTGCCTTGTGTAATGTGGATGCGAGGAGACAAGTGGATGTGATATACCTTGACTTTAGCAAGGCTTTTGACGTGGTAACATTCTCGCAAACAAGCTAAGAAAGTATCGGTTAGATAAATGGACTGTAAGGTGGATAGAAAACTGGCTGGAGAATTGGGCTCAGAGGGTAGTAGTCAATGGCTCAAAGTCTAGTCAGTAGCTGGTATCCCAGTAGTGGAGTGTCCCAGGGGTCAGTCCTGGGGCTGGTTTTCAGTATCTTCATCAGTGACCTGGAAGATGGCATAGAATGCACCCTCAGCAAGTTTGCAGATGATACCAAGCTGCGGGGAGTAGTAGATATGCTGTAGGGTAGGGCTAGGATTCAGAGAGACCTCGACAAATTGAAAGATTGGGCCAAAAGGAATCTCGTGAGGTTCAATAGAGACAAGTGCAGAATCCTGCACTTAGGACAGAAGAAACCCATGCACCCATACAAGATGGGGGCTGACTGACTGGGCAGCAGCTCTGCAGAAAAGGACCTGCGTCGTACAGTGAACAAGATGCTGAATCTGAGCCAGCAGTGTGCCCTTGTTGCCAAGAAGGCTAGCAGCATCCTGGGCTGAATTGGCAGGAGTGTTGCCAGCAGATCGAGGGAAGTGCTTATTCCCTTCTATATAGCATTAGTGAGGCCACATCTGAAGTTCTGTTTACAGTTTTGGGCACCCCACTACAGAGAGGATGTGGACAAATTAGAGTCCAGTGGAGGGCCACAAAAATAGATAGTGGGCTGGGGTACATGACTTGTGAAGAGAGACTGAGGGAACTGGTCTTATTTAGTCTGGAGAAGAGAAGACTGAGGGGATTTAATAGCAGCCTTTAAGTACCTGAAGGGGCATGTGAAAGAGGATGGAGCTGGGCTGTACTCAGTGGTGGCAAATGGCAGAACAAGGAGCAATGGTCTCAAGTTGTAGCAAGGGAAGTTTAGGTTGAATATTAGCAAAACTTTATCAAAAGGAGGGTAGTAAAGCACTGGAACAGGTTACCCAGAGAGGTTATGGACCCTCCATCTTTGGAAGCGTTTAAGACCTGGCTAGACAAAGCCTTGGCTGGGATGATATACTTGAGGCTGGTCTTGCTTTGAGCAGGAGGTGGGACTAGATCAGAGTTTTTCAACCCATGGGTCGTGACACAGAAGTGTATATGAAAGGGTCATGAACAAACTTTAAAAATGGATTCTCCTTTAAAGGAGAAAACATGGGAAACCACAGGTTTCCCCTTGCTGGCTGGCATAGTTCTAGCCTGCAAGGGGCTGCTTGGGGCTGGGAGGAAGCAGGAGAATAGCGATCAGGCACACAGGTACATGTCAGCCAGGCAGTGTGGAGAGTAGCTCCCACAACTCCCTATCATGGCCCAGCCCCTGCTGCTGCTTCCCGTTAATCGGTGGTCCTACCCTG